ACACAGACAACCTCTCGTCAATATGCGTTTTTTGCATTGCATTACTGCAAAAAACGCATAAAAACCGACAAACAACTTAGCCGAAACAGCAATGTAAAAGCCCAAAAATCGAGAGCATGATGTTTTTCTAACTGCAACGTAATTAGACAAAGGTCGTAGTTGGACGAAAATAAGGAAGTTGTAGCAGTTTTAGGGCTCCAAACCTAGAAGGCGTACTTACTTTCATCGCACTTTGCCAATAGCTATGAATCCGGTTCTTGAACATATCATTGTTCTTAAAATATAACATGAATAAACCAACGTCTCACCTAAAGTGATTTTTACGAAAAGCACCAGAAAACCTCACAGAAGTGAAGAATTACCGGAAGGAACTGGTTCATCCGAGGGTAGCTGCACTCTGTTTTCGCCTTCATCTACGATGATTCTGTGACTTGCCGGAAGCTTGCCGTGTTCCCCTTCTGCACTACCAGTATGGCCATGTTTTCTGAATTTATGCCCTCGATGATGGCCCTCTTTCTTCTCCTTACTATCGCCTGCTGCTCCTTCGTCAATCTCAACTTTATGTGTTCGATGTCTGTCGCCTCTCGATCTAATTCCCTGCAATTTGTCGAATTCTGCCCAGTGTAATCGGCTCCACTGCGACCATCTGAAACTCTCGGGTAATTTAGGGTAATATTTTATACACAGACACAATTATATAAATGATTTCTATTCATTCCTACCTATGTTTATATTATTTTTTCCTCTTCACATTACCTAAATTTCTATTTTTCCCTCAGCCACAAGTCAAGGGCTTCGGACGAATCCTTTTCTTGAGGACTGCTTAGAAACAAGCTAATAATTAGCAGACTAACTAACTGTTTATAGGACCACTCAGTCCAAGCAGCAATAAGCCATTTTCCGTCATCCGTGAGATTATGGATTGTTAGTGCAATTCGTTTCGCTTCATTTTCGTCCAAAGCTTTTAAACTGTTGTTGTTTCCCTGATGTTCATCATTGGCCACCTCCTCTTCTTGGTCCGGTACAATATTCATGCACTGCGTACGACAAATTGTCACTCGATAGCCAATACTAAAATTCATCAATATAAAATTTATTGCCAAAAGTTTTTGAATCTAACTTGTGGGTACCTGATTTTCTTACTTAATAAGATTACCATACAAATCTAAATATAATTTAACAATCACGATTCATCATTAAAAAACCTTTCAAAATAGGACTTTCAAATTTTTTGCGCAAAAAACTAAGTTTTAAGAAATTAATTAGGTGCAGAGTACAAAAAATAAAGCGTCGTTAAATTTTCATTTGGGGGGGGGGGGGGGGGGGGGGG